CCGACTCTAAAGGGTCTATGGGTCATGGAATCTGAACCAGCCAATACAGGACCCCTTCCTCCCATACGACGTCTCGCCTGCACACCCACACAAGCCTACACTTCTCCTCGTTTATTTTTTGGCTTTTGACCTTGTGTACAAAAGCCAAGCTCTCATTTCAGCGTCTCTGACATCCATTCTCTACTATCTATTACCGAGGCAACCAGTTTTTAACAGACGATAAGTCTCCTCTTATGATTATTAGTTGCCGTTTAATGTCAAATTGTTGCATTCCTCCATTTTTTGCCCTCTCCTCCGCATCTTGGCTTTCTGGCTGTTCTCCAATTCGGTACTACTGGAATTCTGACGATGGGTGTCCCTCTTACTCCAGCCATCCTCCTCTGTATCCGGTCAATGGCAGCTCCGCTCGGCTTCTTCCTGGCTTCTCATACCTCCGTTCTTTAGGAAATTCTACTGATTGACCTGGACGAATTCGCCACGGGGCAAGCCGATCCTCGTTGGGTCTGCGCCTAATGACTTGGATGGCTACCCTTGGGTGGGTTTACGCCCTGACTGCGCCTCGGTGCCAGCGCTAAACTTTGTCGAATAAGAGATTTTGGGCTATCGCTCATTTTTGTAGAAATAAACAAAGCGGTCAGCATGTATTCACCAGCTTTAGTCTCTACCGCATCTATCCTGCTTCTATCCGTATTACCAAGTCTATGATTCGCCCATAGTCTATTGTGTGCCAACCTACGGGACAAGAGGGAGACTCTAAGGAAGGAGGACTGCGTAACAATATGGCAGACTCTGATCAACATTCCCAGCACAAGGGTGAAGAGGGGTGAGAACGTCAGTGTGGAGTGTGCAGGGTTCTCATAAAAGCCGCTCAAAAAGGCGCATCATACCACGTTTAAATAAACAAGGATAGGCTTCACTTGTCTTTTTGGGGAGTTGTTGTGTGGTGCTAAGATGGCAAGACTCACTGACGATCCCGGCGAAACGTCTTGGAATGTACCACGTCCACGCTCCGACTCTGGATATTATCAGACATACAATGTACTCCGGACTAGGTGCATTCCTCCAAGTCTTCCTACCAATATGACCAAGTTGCGAAAACAACGTCAAACAACTTCAATAAATATCTAATTTCTGAACTGCCCAAATATGTAAATATCTGGCAAACTATCCATCAGTCTTCGATCATTAATAACTTATGCTCCAAAACACAACCATATAAATATCTACATAACAAATTGTCTATCAACTTAGAAAATATTATATTTATCTTCCCAATTCTATACCTACCTAATCGCCTAGCGAAATACCTCCCTACTATCTAGCCTATTAACCGACAATTGCAACTACTTCCTATCTAACTAACGATGTAGCTACCCAGTTACGCATTAGCCTAGCTATATTCTTACCTAACAGTCTAAACAATTATCCGCAAAACTAGATAGGATGTATTGGACATTGCAAATTGATACATTTTTTTACACAGGCCCCCACCAACCTACTACCCTACTATCTTCATGTCCCACCTTCCATTCATCCTAACTACCCAATATCTCCATAGCTAAATATTTACACATGCATGCCTAACTCATTTCACAACTGCACACATTCACAATTTCCTACCTCATTTCATACTTATCAATCTCATTTTCTCTTGCAGACCCACTCACCTTATTAACTAATGCAACTTAGATACCTACTTATCTAAGTAATTACTCCCCTAAATTTCTACCCTTCTGAATAATTACATATCTGAAGACGAATCTGAAATAAAAAACGCGTATCCTAGACTATACTCATAACTTTTAATTCATAAATACATATCTTCATGATATAGCACATTCCGGCATAATATTAATCTATTTCACAATCCACTTTTCTATATAACAAAGTAATTATCTGCCTACCTACTTACCCTCCTAGCAAAAGATATATTACATATCAAAATGCATTCCTTCATAGAAAATAGCATCCTACTCACAAAGAACTACCTAGAAAAATAAACAAAGACTTTATGTAAACAGTC